TGGTATACATGTGAGGACTCCAAGGTTCTTGCTCTGTGCTCACCTGGGATAATGAGAGGAGAAGAAAGAAGGATATGTGTTTCTGAGATGGGATTACCGAGCAAGACTGGAAATTCACCTCTAGACAAATTTATCTCGGAACAGGGAAAAGCACAGTTTTAACCTTAGCTCCAACAAAGACATACTAAAAGTACCATACCAATTATTTTTTTCTTTAGACTATCACTTTCTTTGAATTGACTATCAATTTCTTTGAAAGTGCTGACAGCACTTCACAACAACAACATCACTTTGTTTATATTACCCAGGACTGGAATTAATCTAGTCTTGACCAACACCTACAAAATGGGGATGTTCTGAGCTAATCAAATTTTAAACGGCCTGTTTTTAATTCTGTAACTAGGGGAGTGGGCACACCATCAGCAAGAAGCGGCAACACCTTACACAACTGAATGGAGCATCACTGGCATGCCAGTTCATCATATAATTTGGAGCTTCCTACCAGACAAGCTTGGGGAGCACAGTGGATCCCTAGGATAAGTACTAGACTGCAAACTACAAGGTTGGACTCAAGTTAACAGTCCTCAGAGGAAGATGAGGTTTTCTGATTCTGCAATGATTTAAAGCTTCGGAAGCCCTATACAGGGTTGCTATGAGTTGGAACTGACACCAAGGAACTTAACAACAATCAGAAAAGCTTCATGATAAAAGAACTGTTCAAAAAGTTTTGTGTTCTCCTGTAATTTGTATTAAGAAACTTTAATTTCTTTTGACGCTGGGCCCAAATTTCTGTCCAATGATATATACCCCTAAATGTACTTCACATTTCCTTTGATGCCAAAATCATTCAAAAGTCAGTGAGGTGTCATACCTAAAAAAATTGTCAAATAAAAACTCAAAAGGCCCCCTAAAAAGAGATACTTATCATTGTGATCATGATACTAACAATTGTATTAATTATATGCTTGATATTGGTTTGTTGTGTTGGTTGTTGTTGTTGTTGGTAGGTACTTTAAAGTTGGTTTCAACTCATAGTGACCCTATATACAACAGAATGAAATCTGGCTAGCCTCACAATTGTTGTTTCGTTGGAGGCCGCTGCTGCTGCCACTGTGTCAGTCAATCTCCATCGGGATCTTCCTCGTCTTTGCTGACTCTCCACTTTACCAATCATGGTGTCCTTCTCCATTAACTGGTCCATCCTGATAACATGTTCAAAGTATGAGAGACAAGTCTCCTCATCCTGCCTTGTAAGGAGCCTTCTGGCTATATTTCTGCCAACAAAGATTTGTTTGATCTTCTAACAGCCAGTGATACTTTTAGTATTCTTTTCTAACAACATAATTCCAATGCATTGATTCTTCTTAGGTCTTCCTTATTCATTGTCCAACTGTCACATGCATATGAGGTGATTGAAAATACTGTGGGTTGGGTCAGATGCATATTAATCCTTAAACTTGTATTTTTGTTCTTGAACATTTTTAAAAGATTTTTAGTAGCAGATTTGCTTAATGCAATATATGATTTGATTTCTTGACTAGAGCTTACAGGAGTGTTGATTTTTGATCCAAGAAAAATTAAGTCTGAAAATGTCAACCTTTTCTCCATTTACCTTGCTATTATTTTTTGGTCTGGTTGTGAAGATTTCTGTTTCATTTAGACGGAGATGCCATCTGTACTGAAGGCTGTAGTCTTTGATCTTCATCCTTTTTGCTTAAGTCCTTTTTGCTTTCATCAAGCAAGGTTCTATCATCTGTATATCTTAGGTTGTTAATGAGACTTCCTCCTATTCCGATGCCATGTTTTTCTTCATATAATCCATTTTTTTTCTGATAATTTACTCAACATACAGACTGAATAAGTATGGTGACAGGATACAACCCTGGAGCATACCTTTTCTGATTCAGAACTGCTTTCTTTTGTTCTAATGACTGCATTTTGGTATATGAACAATTTCCTCATAAGCACATTGAAGTGTTCAAGAAAACCCATTCTCACAACAATATTATCCAAAGTTTTTCATGATCCACACAAACAAAACTCTTTGGAAAGCCAATATCACACAAGTAAATATCTCTACGGTATCATCAGCTTTCAGCCAAGGTCCATCTGATGTGGGCAGTGATATCACTAGTTCCAGTCTCTTCTGAATCTGGCTTGACTTTATTTCAGATACCTATCAATATATTCCTGCAAGCATTTTTATGGAATACACAGGAAGTATATTGACTACATCTGTAATAAAAGGCAGTGGAAAAGCTCAACATCATGAGCCAAAACAAGGACAGGACCAAATGGGGAAAAAAGCATCAAGAAAATTAAAACTTACAAAAATTAAACAAGACCACAAGAGCAAAATATGACCTTGAATATATCCCACCTGAATTCAGAAACCATTAAAGAACACCATTGTTGTTCTTTGGTGCTGTCAAATTGGTTACAACTCATAGCGACCCAGTATGGGATTTCCGAGGAGTGGATGGTGGATTTGAACTGCTGACCTTGCAGTTCAAACTGACCTTGTAGTCCAGTGTTTACCCTACAGTGCCACACCAAGATTCCATAATTGTTACGGTTATTAAGTGCTATCGAGTCAGTTCCGACTCATAGCAATCCTGTATAGGGTTTCCAAGGAGCAGCTGATGACTTTGAACCACCAACCTTGTGGTTCACATCAACCTTGCTGTCCAGTCCTTTATCCTACAGTGCCACAAAAAGAATGTTAGTTTGTTAAAAATAAAAAAAAACAACTATATAAAGAAGTAATATAGTGGGAGATATATTTTTAGAAAATTGATTATTCAGACAAACTAATAGGATTTGGCTAAATTCAGTTAATTATAAAATTTGTGTAACTTTGAAATGGAAAGGGAAAGCTGGAGGACCCTAAAATGTGTTATTAATCTGACGACCATCTGCTACAAATTTTCAGTAAAAGAAAACAATATTATAATTTTATACTGTAATGGCTTTGAATATTTTGATTTATATTTATATTTTCATAAGAATTTAACAATGATGAAGCAGTCTCATTTCACAAAAATAAATCAGTCCAACATTTCCAAATTAAATGAAATTCATAAACTATTATTCATGTTAAAAGATGCACGCTTCAACAGTGGAAGAATCATTAATACTTATGATGATGCTCCATAGTATAGAACACAGATATAGATCATGAATTAGTTTATGTTAATTAATAGTTCTTTAGAAAGAGATCAAAATTGTCTATTTTGGCCAACTTTTAAAATATATTTTCCAGGCTGCTTGATTCAGGAAAACTACTACAATTTTATTAGTAACATGCTTCCTTCTTACATTGTAGGTAAATGGTCACTTGTAAAACATTTTAAATAAACCTCTCAGTCTGTTCCTGTGATGTTTTGGTATTTGTGAAATACATAACTGTATCTATACTACAATATGCCATCCAACTAATCATATGCCATGATGTATCTGATTTAAAACATTCCATGTAAATTAAATAAAAATTTTTTTATTTGCATATTATAGTAATACAAGATTCTTTCTCTGGCTTGTGTATTTTAAAATATACTTACGGGTTATCCAATAGCAGTACTATGGGATTAAGTTCTTTCTTTGGTCTATAATATGCCCTGAGAGGAACAATAAAATTATACAATCCATTTCCAGCTGTTTCAGCTGCAACTATAATAAGTTTATTTTTAAATCCATAGGCTTTTGCATCCTCATAGTAGTTATGCTGGCAACTCTAGAGAAGAAAAATTATACAAAGAAATGCACATTTTTTACTTCATTAAAATATGGATAAAACTTTTAGGATAAACTGAAATATAAAATTAATCTAAGCGATACATATTTTTTAAATTTTTAACAAATTTGAAAATATATTTTTTTGTGCCTAGTTCCACAGTATGTAGTAAGAAATACACATATACATGACCAAGGATAATGAATTGCAGCTTGATGTTGGACTCCTAGCATGGCACTATAGGATCAGTATTGGACTGCTAACCACAAAGTTGGTGGTTCAAACCCACCAGCTTCTCTTCAGAAACTCTATATTGATTCTGTGAGTTGGAACCATCTCAATGGCACTTAACAATAATAAAAAACTTAATGCTAGGAGCCCTGGTGACATATTTTAAACTCACCAGCCACTCCATGAGAAAAATATGTGTCAGTCTGCTTCTGTAGATTGCAGCCTAGGAAATCCTATGGAGCAGTTCTACTCGGTTCTAGAGGATTGCTATAAGTCAGAATTGACTGATAGTCATGGGTAAGCTAGATGAAGGAGGTGAACAAGGTCAGCAAGGCATGCATATGTTCTTTTATGAGCTAAAACTTGGTTCTAGATAACTTCTGGGTATCTGTACTTTTAAAATCACCTACTTCTAACTTTCATTTCCAAAAAATACAGTAGTAATATAAATAAACTCAAAAACATTTCTAGTACTAACTATCTAAATTGATGGCCTGAACAAGACAAAACTGAAAAATTAAACTTTCTAAATACATAGC